GTTGATTGTTTTCTGGTTGAGAGAAGAGGTGATGATAAGGCTGGGATAAAGTGAGCGCCGGGAAACGGGCGCTGAGCCGGCAGCTGTATGCTAATGCTCACAGAAACCAAGCCTGCGAGTCCCCCATTAAAGCAGGCGGCCAGGAGGCCACACATCACTGAACAAATAGGCTCTCTCTAGACAAATAAAATAACACACGTAGGCCTGCAAGGAGGAGGGAGGGCGGAGTATGTGTGTGTGTGGGGGGGGAATCAAAGGGAGGGAAAAGTGGGGGGAGAGGTAGGGAGGGGAGAGAAGGCAGGGGAGAGTAGGAGAGAAGCAGGGGGAGGGGAGAGGGGTGAGGAGCTGGGGGAGAAGCTGGAAGATTAGCAGAGGGAAGGGGAACTGAGGGAAAGAGTCAGAGGCTGTGAGGGAGAAGAGCGGAGAGCCGGGGAGGGTTGGGGAAAGATGGAAAGAGGCTGCAGGAGCCGGGAGAGGTGGGACAGGTGGCCGTGAGGAGGTGGTTGTGGAAAGAGGTGGCAAAGGAGGAACGGGGAGACAGAGGGTGGGGAAGGAAAGGGGGGAGAGGAAAGGTGGGGTGCGATGTTGGGACCAGAAGAGAGAGATGGTGAGAGGGAAGAACACAGACACCCCAAACCCAAAAGCAGGAGCGAGAGGAAGGGCGAACACAGGCCAAGTGGGAGCACAGGCCAGGGTGGAAAACGCGCCTCCTCTGTGTCCCTGGGGCGGCCGAGGCGCGAGGAGGGTCGACGTCGCGGTGGCTTTTCCGGGGTTTTGGCCTTTTCTGAGATCGACGTGGATGGGGGGGTCGACACTTCACAGGGGGCGTGTGCGCCCCACGGTCAGTGCCCTCCCTTGGCGTCCAGCCGTCGGGGCCGCGCCACCCCTCCAGTCGGCCCTCGCAGCCCCCACCCCCTCCTGGCCGGGGGCAGCACCACCCAGGGCAAAAACAAACAGCCCTGAGGGCACTTCAAGGAGCGCGCAGTGGCCCCGACGACACACTCCGGAGGATAAAAGAGGCGGCCAGTCACCCCGCCGGCCCCCGGCCGAATAATGGGCCCGCAGCAGATTGCCGGGGGCACTTGAAACTCGAGGGGAGGCAAATACTTGAGCGCTGTCCCTCCCCGCGCCCGGCGGACGGCGCAGCCTCGCGGATTCCCCCTTGTTCGCTCTCTTTCATGCACTCTCCTTTTGTGTGGAATTATTTAAACGGGAGATCCTTGGCAGCTTTATGCTAATGTGTCGAACAAAGGCGACGGCCCGCGGGCGGGGGGCCGGGAAGGTGCCTGGAGGCCGGACCGGGCCCGCGGGGCGGCCGGCGGGCGGGCTGCGCGTGTCTCTCGCGTGCCCCTGGGACTGACACAACCACCCCTCATTCCTGCAAACACAAAGCCTCTGCGCGCCCGGGTCCGGCGCGCGTCGAGCACTGGGGCGCGGGTGGCCAGCGGCCCCGACAGCGTGCGCTGCGGCGGGGGCGCACGGTCCAGGCCGGGCTGCGGCCGGCGGCTGAGAGCGCCTGGGGTGGGGCTTCTGGGAATCCAGAATAGGGGTCCGCGACAAAGTGAGGATGGGAGCGGAGGGGGGCGGTAAGACGCTGGTATCTCCCTCTCCTCTTTCTGGGCCGTCTCCGAAATCACCGCCAGTCTGGGGGTGAGATCGCGGACCCTCTCCGGAGAGCAGGGTTTGCCTGAACGTGTCAACACCCCGCAGGGCAATTCCTAGGCCGAAATTCACCACTTGAGCGATTGTGTCCAAGTTTCTCGCTTTGTAGAAACTCCCTGGAGTTTGACTCTTGAGTGTGTCTGTGTGTGTGTGGGGGGGGTGGTCACAATGAACCCGGGCGCACTCTTCGAACGCAACCCGGGACGACAGACCTGGTGAGCTTAGAGCGCCTTGGGCCTCCAGCTCTGGGGTCAGATGAAGACCCCCATCAGAGATGGGGTTGCAAGAACAAGAAGTCAAGAGGCTGCCTGGTTTTTCCAAAGCGCAGGGCAAGGCCCCTCAGAAAAGGGGGGAATCTCTCGGGCCTGGGAAAGACACACTGGGGGTCCTGCCTTGGAGGCCCCTGGGGGTGGGGGGCGTAAATCGGCGCTCGACGTTTCTCTAGCTCAACTCTGTGAGGCACCTACTCCAGCCGCGAACGGCGGCCACCCTGGCGTGGCATGGTAACATTTTGCTCTTCCCAGCTGAAAACAACTCTCTCCATCCCACTTTCCCATCCCAGCACACGCGAATAACAACGCAGAAGACGTCTTAAGCGTGTAACTGGGTGCCAGGTTGTACCTACGCTAAGAGGTTGCTGGCGTGTGCGTGTGTGTGTGCGTGTGTGTGTGTGCGCGCGTGAACGAGCAGCCTAATTCCGCCCCCCCACCCCCGCTCCAGTCCTGGGTTATGAAATAAGTTTCGAATACTAGTACCCTTCAAGTTTCTTTTTTTTTTTTTTAAGCGCGCTCCTTTAAAAGGCTGACAAGACTAGAAATCACAATAAAAGTAAAAGAAACGGGTCCATTGAATCTCAGAATCTCAATAGTGTTCAATAGATTCTCTTGGCTTAATTCAGAGCCCTGTTTGAATTCGCTGCATGCAGACAGGGGTTTGGTTTTGTTTTTTGCGCCCCCTCCTTCCCTCTTTACAATTATGGCTGCTGTTATTTTTAAAGGATTCACAAGGTGACTAACTCTCCCTGTTATCTGTTGAATGAAAGGAGCCTTACACATGCAAGACCAAACACCCCGCAGTCAGTTGAGGGGGTGGCAGGCCGAGCCCGCGCCCTATTAGTCCACAATCCAGATGGGATTCGTGATTAGAAAATAAAATTGGCCAAAGCTGTCCCGGAATCCCTTTCCCTCTTCTAATTTCATCAGCAGTATTAATCAGCGCTCAAAAGAGCAAGGAAACAACACCAGTTACTTTTAGATTGAAACAAATTTATGAATTTTAGATAAACTCATTTTAGGAGTTCTAACTTTTCTCAGGACTTCAATTACTACAGTTAGCATTTCTAAAAGGAGGGTGAGAGCTTTCACAATATCTGCCATTACTTGTATTTTTCTCTTTTCCATCGGTGACTTAAAAAATATCAAACATCAAATCATCGAATATCATTCCCCTTGATTAACCAATTTGATGAACCCCTTGATTAACTAACCTTAACTACTGTCCCCATCACAACTTATTGTTCTGTGGACTCTAAAAAATATGTTTAATTTCCACGCCAGGGTATTTTCAGAGGGAAAAATCAAAACAATTAAATACCTTCAGTGAAATTAAGCATAAACAAAACTCAGCAAAATCTATCTGGGTGTACAGTTTTGCAGGAAAATGTCCGTTTCCTTCTCTTTGGATAAAGTGACATTTTCCTCACAAAATATAACGTATTTTATGTCTCGTTGCTATTTGTTCCCCAATGATGGGCCATCAGTGATGGGCACTCTTGGGGTTCTGCCCCCGCCCCCTGGAGATTCTGCCTTTTGTGTTTCCTCGGGTTTGGACTAGAAAGAGAACGGATGCAAACGGCCGGGTCTGGGTCCAAATCCGGCGGTGGCCGAGTGTGGTGGGTGTGGATCTTCGCTCTTGTCTTTTCCTGGTGGCCCGGGGGGTGTGGGGGGAGCAGCGGCTTGTCTTCTAGGAGGCCGCAGCCCGCCTCAGAGGACAGATTGCCCCCCCTCCCCCAGCCGGCAGCACGCGTCTCTTTTGCGTCCAGATTGGCCGCGGCCCGCGCTCAATAGCGGGAGGTTAATTTCCTTCACAAAGGTGAAGGGGGCACGGCTCCGGGGGGGCGGGGGGGCTGCACCCAGACAGGCGGCCCCTTTATTCCGCAGCGCCTTGATTGGAGCCCTTGATTTAGCATCTGATGTCAACCGGCAGACAAAATGCCCGCTCGGAATGAAAATGCATGAGGCGGCGCAGGGAGAGCGGAAACCAACTTCACTGGGGCGCACAGGGCTGACTGTGCGTTTCGGGTATTGGCCAGTTCCATCTGAATCAACCCAGCCCAGAGCGACCCCGGGCTCCGGGAGACCCCGGGCCGGCCCTTTCAAGGATGCCAATCTCCACCTTTGGAGAACTTAAAAAAAAAGTTAAGAAATTCAAATGCCTTTTGGAACGCAGCACAGTCTGACCCCAGCACCAGCGCCGTTTCTGCTGGCAGTCGAAGAAGTGTGGTGCCAACTCCCAAACTCGAGGGAAACCTTCCTGAAGCCCGCGGGCGCGCCACGGCCACAAACGTTGCCTTTGGCTGCAGCCAGAAGGCCAGATCCTCAAACTCGGAACTTCAAAGTCCCGTTTCTCTTGGCACCTGAGTCCCGCAACCCATCCGTCACGGACAGGGCTTCTTGGCCGCCTTGGTTTTGCAGCTATTTTCAATTTCTGATCATCTCCCAAACACCAGGAGAAGTTCCTGGGCCTCCCGCGACCGGCCGCGGGCCCCAGCAGCAGCGCTCAGATCTCCCCCGCGCCTGCTGCTCCCCACCGCCGCCCGTGCCCAATCAGCGCGCACAACTTCCCCCTCCGCTCCGGCTCGCGGATTGAACCCTCCTGACATATTTGGGGCCATTCTTCTCCTTTGTTGCTATTTTGCTCGCGACCCGCGGGTAATCCCCGCGCGGGAGGGGGGCGTGCATTGTCGTGCTGATGGACGGGCCCATTTGGCTGCTCCGCGCCCCCCGGAGGAGAGACACAAAGCCCAGGCACGTGCGCCTCCCCATAGAGGAGCAGCAGACCGTGAAGGGAGGCGGGGTCGGGCGTGTGCCTGAGCCGGGCGGGGCGGCGGCGCCGGGCGGGGCGGCGGAGGGGCGCGCTCGGGGGCCCCGCGCCCTCAGGTACATCTGCCGCACCTACCGGACGACCCCCGAGTCCCGGCCCCCTTTTTGCCGCCCCTTCGCCCTCCCACCCCACCAGGCGGAGGCACTGCGGACGCGCTGATTGGCTCCGGGGGAAGCGGGAGGCGAGAACAATGGCCCCCTCCCCCCGTTAAAAGGGAGCGGCTCCAGGGCCCGGGGACAGGGACGCGCGTGCAGGGCGCAGAGCCGAGCCGAGCCGCCACCGGCGCCACGCGAGTCCCGCCGCCGCCGCGCCCGGACTATGGGCTGGGGGCACTGAGGCCGCCGGGGCCGCGCGCGGAGGTTGGACCGCACCCGTGCCTTGCCCCAGCGCCGCGCCAACATGCCCCGCGGCTTCCTAGTGAAGCGCAGCAAGAAGTCCACGCCCGTGTCCTACCGGGTCCGCAGCGGCGAGGACGGCGACCGCGCGCTGCTGCTCTCGCTGGGCTGCGGGGGCGCCCGTGCCGAGCCCCCGGCGCCGAGCCCCGGGCCCGGGCCGCTGTCCCTGCCGCCGCCGCCGGCCGCCGAGCGCGCCCATGCGGCGCTGGCCGCCGCGCTCGCCTGCGCGCCGGGCCCGCCGCCACCCCCGCCCGGCCCGCCCGGCCCGCGGGCCGCGCACTTCGGCAACCCCGAGGCCGCGCATCCCGCGCCGCTCTACAGCCCCACGCGGCCGGTGAGCCGCGAGCACGAGAAGCACAAGTACTTCGAGCGCAGCTTCAACCTCGGCTCGCCCGTCTCGGCCGAGTCCTTCCCCACGCCCGCCGCGCTGCTGGGAGGTGGCGGCGGGGCCAGCGGCGCCAGCGGCGCGGGCAGCAGCGGCACCTGCGGTGGCGACCCACTGCTCTTCGCGCCCGCCGAGCTCAAGATGGGCACCGCGTTCTCGGCGGGCGCCGAGGCGGCCCGCGGCCCGGGCCCCGGGCCCCCGCTGCCGCCCACTGCTGCCCTGCGCCCCCCGGGCAAGCGGCCCGCGCCCCCTGCAGCCACCGCGGTTCCCGAGCCTCCAGCTAAGGCAGCCAAGGCCCCGGGCGCCAAGAAGCCCAAAGCCATCCGCAAGCTGCACTTCGAAGACGAGGTAACCACGTCGCCGGTGCTGGGGCTCAAGATCAAGGAGGGCCCGGTGGAGGCGCCGCGGGGCCGTGCCGGGGGCGCGGCGCGGCCGCTGGGCGAGTTCATCTGCCAGCTCTGCAAGGAGGAGTATGCCGATCCGTTCGCGCTGGCGCAGCACAAGTGCTCGCGCATCGTGCGCGTGGAGTACCGCTGCCCCGAGTGCGCCAAGGTCTTCAGCTGCCCGGCCAACCTGGCCTCGCACCGCCGCTGGCACAAACCCAGGCCTGCGCCCGCCGCTACCCGCACGTCGGAGCCCGAAACCTCTGCCAGAGCTGAGGCGCGCGAGGCGACGGGCGGCGGCAGCGACCGCGACACGCCAAGCCCTGGCGGCGTCTCCGAGTCGGGCTCGGAGGACGGGCTCTATGAGTGCCACCACTGCGCCAAGAAGTTCCGCCGCCAGGCCTATCTGCGCAAGCACCTGCTGGCACACCACCAGGCGCTGCAGGCTAAGGGTGCGCCGCCCGCGTCCCCAGCCGAGGACCTACTGGCCTTGTACCCTGGGCCCGACGAGAAGGCGCCCCAGGAGGCGGGTGGCGACGGAGAGGCGGCCGGCGTGCTGGGTCTGAGCGCGTCCGCCGAGTGCCACCTGTGCCCGGTGTGCGGGGAGACGTTCCCCAGCAAGGGCGCCCAGGAGCGCCACCTGCGCCTGCTGCACGCCGCACAGGTGTTCCCCTGCAAGTACTGCCCGGCCACCTTCTACAGTTCACCTGGCCTCACGCGGCACATCAACAAGTGCCACCCGTCCGAGAACAGACAGGTGATCCTTCTGCAGGTGCCTGTGCGTCCGGCCTGCTAGAGCGCGTCCTCCACCCCCGAACTGTGCCTTCGCTTGGAGACCCAAGAAGAGAGCGCGCCCCGCGCGCGCCCCTTACCCGCGTCGGCGCCGGGGGGCGCCCACCCCCGGTGAAAGTGTTGTCTCCCGCTTCTCCGTGTGGCGTGACGGTAACCCCATCCTTTCGTTGTGACTCCTTTGGGCCCTTTCTCCCCACTTTGCGTTGTGTCCCCTTCCCCACTATGGCGCAACAGGAGCCAGTCTCTTTCTGTACAGGCGAGAAAAGCTGTCCGCGTTTGTCTCGTGGTTGGAAACCTCCCCTTTGAAGGGAGAGCTGTTTTTCTTGCTAGTATTCGCTGTGTTCATGGTCTAGAAATGCGGTTTGCTCTCGCCTACCAATCTCTGCTCTTTATGTATGTAGCGTACGGGTTGTTTGGGGGTGAATCTTGAGGAATATATGCCTTTATATTTCACAGGCTGTAAATTGAACTTCCCACACGATTAGCTTTATTATGGCTTGTGAACTGCTGGAGCTTGGCTTTACCTTTTTGTATGTGAACAAATCAAATTGCTTAAAAAAGAGTTTTCTTTAGTATAGCCACAAATGCCTTGAACTGTTGTCTGTTTGGAATTGTTTTTTTTGGGGGGCGGGAGGGAATTTGCAGAAGATGCTGTAGAAACTGCCTCAATATTTCATGTAAGACTTTTTGGTTTGATCATCTTCTTTGAGGTAGGACTGAGTTCCCTCTAAATGTATATGTTTGATTTATGAGTAATTGTTATTTATTCTTTATTTATTTATATTAATTATGAAGATTATGATATTATTTGATTGCAGATTTTTTTGTGTGTGCTTTCCCCCCCTGCCACTCGACATTTCACTGTGCATTTTAGAAGAGAGCCTTTTTCTAAAGGGATCTGCTAAAAGTTTTAACTTTTATACCTATCTGAGCGAATTACAGACAACCTACCATTTTATTCTGCTTGGGGGACCCCTGAGGCCCTGTACAACCGACAGCTCTTACTTTTAAATGCAATCTCTTTTCTACATACATTATTTTCTTAATTGTTAGCTATTTATAGAAAGCTTCAATAGAACTGTTTCAACTGTATAACTATTTACTATTCAAATAAAATATTTTCAAAGTCAAAAGAAGGTGGATTTATTTCTGCTGTGATTTCAACAGGGGTTTTGAACAGCACTCAGATAATTTCTTAAATGTCTTAATTTTTTATTAAGGGAAGAAACTCAACCACCATCACTGGATTTGTAGATTTTTAGAATTCAGGTGATCTGCCAGATCCTGCCTTTCTGGCAGTTAGTTCAAAGGTGGAGTCTCAAAACTGCTAACTGGAGGATAGCCGTCCTTAGGAATGTACTGGAAGGTGGGGTTAGGATGAAGGCTGTGTGAATCTTTTCCAGAAAATTCTAGATAAGTATCCAGAAGAATCTATGTTTTCACGGAAGGGGTGTAGGAAGACTGCTTTCATTTTCTTCATTTCCTGACAATTTGGGACGGCTTTAATCCTTAACTATCAACTCAAAGAAAATAGAAATGATCTTATGGTTAAATTTCCAAAGCAAGGGAATCTACAGTCACATTCGGCTGCCACAGAAGTTAAGGAGCTGGGTTTGAGATAAGGGCTCAGAAATAATTTTCTAATCAAGTGACCAATCCATATTTTTTTTTGGGGGGGGGGGAATAGAACACCATCTGTTTGGGACATTAAATTTAATAATGGGTAATTACAATGTTTTCCGTTATATGTCACTCAGCCCTTTGGAGAACAATTCTGACGCTCACTGGTTAATACTGTGAGTGGTTTTCCTAGGTCTTTGAAACGCTCAATTACAGAACTGCGCTAAACGTCACAGTTGTGCATTGCCTTCCTTTTGTGGTGTATTTCTGCCACTTGCCCCATCCCAGCTCACCCCCCAGGGCCCTCTGAACCAGGCTTCTCTGAAAAGCGTAGCTGGAATGAAGTGGGAAGGGCAATCCATGAGAAACTTAGAAGGACAAAAAAATGATGAAAGGGACCATTTCCAGATTCTGAGCCTAAAGTCTTGCAAGGGAGGGACTTTAGTAAAGGCTCAGCTGTCAGGAACATTGAACATTCTTTCCCGGAAAAAGTCTTCTGATAGAATAACCCTGAAAGAGCAGCCGCTACAGGTAAGCTGCCCCCAGAACAAATTGTGTGTCCCCCTTTTATTGCTCATGGTGACATATTTTACCAGTTTGGAAAACAGAGGAGGACAAAAGCTTAGTACCGGCGTGGTATGAAAGTGCACGGACAAAGCAGTATTTATTAAATCCTGAGAACTTTGAATGAAAAAAAGGAAAACTCAGATTTGTGGGCTAATGGCTGCTTCTTCTGAGCAACAGTAATGTGAGAGTTTTTAAAATGTTTTCTCTGATTTACGCCAGTCATTCAAAGATCCCTCATACTAAGTGTAGATGGGTATTCTATGCTAACAAAAGTTTCCTTTAAAACCTGATGGTTGCACATATAAAATAAGTTAAGGCCTGTCAACAGGAAGGGTATCTTGGCAGTGTTGACTCACTGTCTTTTTGGTCCATAATCATAAAGCATCAATTCTTCTAAGATTCACTTTCATGAGGGTAAATAATTTGGTCACTTACCAATGTGCTCACCCCCTATGGAAGTTTATTTCAATGGATTAAATATACCACTTCTAAAATAGAAGCCAAACTTTCATTGTTAAGTTTAAATAAAATGGTATAGTAAGTGGAATATATTTAAATTTATTAAACAGTGTAGAAGAAATTTTAGACTTGGTCAATTTATTTCAAAATAATACAGTATAGGTTGGTAGAATATTCCACAAGAAAGAATCAGATTCTCTCTCTCTCCCTCTTTCTGCCCCCCCCCACATCTTATTCCTCCCTGCATAATAAGCCTAAACTTCCTATTAGAGAATACTAAATGGAAACCCACTCACCCTTCTTTATAAATGTGCAAAGGGTGCTGAAGACATCCCATGTGTTTTAGCTTGTACCAAACTTGGACCATCGTGGGATTGAAACCAGCATAGATTCTCATACTGAACTGCAGCCAGGGATTATTTGGGGGGGGGTGCAGAGGACAGGTGTAGGGGGCCAGGAAAAGTAACAATATCAAGAAGAGAGGAGCTAGGGAGAGAGCAAATAGAGAGAAGGATTTTATTTTTGCCAGTGGCCAACACATTTTTTTTTTACTTCTATACACAGAGTGTAATAAAAAGCAAAGGGCTTTCTGTATTCCCCTGGTTCCAAAGTGAGCCCGTGTCTGAAACAGGGGGAAGCACTGGTTAACCCCTCTCTTCAGAGGTGATAATGTCCTCTTGGGGCACAGGTCCCTGGAGGCCTGGAGAAGTTGGGGCTTATGAACCTCAGAACAAGAGAGTTTCACTGAAAGGGTTTAACCTGGGTGCTCCTTCCTCATGAGTAGTGCCACCTACAGGTATTCTCACCTTTAGAAGATCCCAAGGCCCATTGCTGGATTCAACCTAAAGTATCTAGACCACCACGGTGGAGTCAGTTGCTCCAGGGCATCTTGTGAGTTCATTTAATGAGGTGGTCAGCACAAGAGCTTCCCATGATGCGCCTTGCACGATGCAGGGCAGAACTGAAGCCCAGAGGCAGGCTCAAGTGCACCTGTGCAGTGGCACAAGTGAGTATGTTGAGGTGTCCTATGGAGATTTGGGCTTATAAGCTTAGGCTAGGCAATGCCAGACACCAAGCAGATGTCCAGATGCTGAATGAGGGTAAATTGTTTCTCATTTGTCTCCACTTGCTCTGAAGCAGGTTCCTGAGTGGCCACCTCCTCACACCAGCTACTTATCCATCCCCTTGGATTTAATTCCATAGCCATACACACAGTTCTCAAAACAAAGCAGAAAAATCTCTTCACAATCTTAGTGAGTAGGTAACTCTATAGGAATTCATCACCCACCAAATGTCTTGCACAAGAGAAAGTCTAGAAGGGGACTTGAGCAGGCTCTTTGGCTCTACTGAGTCTCTTGACTTCCTACAGACTCTGTCTCTTCAGCTGTAAACCAGAGTGAATAGGATTATATAAAACACAGTGGGACATTTGGGGAGAATTTCCAGTACTGTGAAATGAAAGGCAATAAAGACCCCGAAGGAAGTGGTGTCCTGTGTGGCATTAAGGTAGTTATGAATCTACTGGCCTGTGGCAAGCAGGCTCTGGGCAAAACTTTCTTTTTGCAGAAATAACATTTTAGTCTTATAGAGAAATTTTCTGACAAATAGGCTCTATTTTCCAGAAACTGTGGGGTCAGTTACATGTCATAGAAAGATATTATGTAGGTGACATCTAGCCAGCTTGTTATAGGGCCAAGTTAAGTGAGAGTCACTCAATGGTGATACTAGAGAAATCTGTATTGTTTGGTAGTTAGAGACAAACTGTGTAATGCAGAGAGCAAAGAGCAGCCAGAATTGTAGAGAAAAAACCACAAGGTGGCCAAACACACCAGTGGGAGAGAATCAATCGAACAGCAATGTGCAAGGATCTTTATTCCATTTGATTTTCAAGGTGACACCAGAGCAGGAGCACAATATGGAGTATAAAGACATTTAGGCATAAATGAAATGGGTGAATGAATATATGCCTCATACAGATACATATACACAGACATATAAAAAATGAAAGCAATAACCTAAACATCCCATTCAGCCAAATGCATCTTTGAGTTACATCTCTTACATATTTAAAAACATATTGTTCCTTTATTGGCAACCTATTAGTAAACCTGTGGCATTAAATGGCTCAGTCATCAGGAAAGGCACTTGTTACTCCTGGGTTGTAATATGACAACTGTCTTTAACAGGCACATTAGGAATGTAGAGAAAAATTCACAAGTGATACTTGGTCATGGGCCCACAGTATGTCCCCATCCCGCGGCACTACATGAAAGAATGTTCCCGACACTCGCAGCAGGAAGGCCGTCTTCTCATGGGCTGTTTCAGGTGTCAAGTCTTCACCTTGGAGTTCCTCCCCTGCCCTTGGCGTATGGGTTTGCCGAGGTTGCCAAGGGAGGCCAGATACATTGAGACTATAGGATGCAGTGGGAAGAAAAGTTGGCACCTGGATGCCCCATGCATAGGAAAGTTGTTTGTTTTTTTTTAACCAGGATAATGAGGAAACCCCTACTGCCTTGTAAGGTTACTAAAGAAACATATTTTACAAGTGATGCATAAATATCTCCTTGTGTGCAAACACCCAACTATAGATTTTGGTGTCAAGGCAATTTCCCAGCCAAGAGGGTTTTCTGAAGATAAATGGGTTCTGCTTGGAGAACATTCCTTATGAGGAACCATAGGTGGACATTACTCCAGGCCACAGTGGGCCTGAGAAGTGACAACTGGATGAGAGTAATCTCCAGCAAGAAATCTGTGATGGACCTTTGTGGTGAATGGAACTGATTTCTCACGGCTGGGTGTGGAAAACAATTTGGCTTGCAGATTTGCCATTCACAACTAGTTTTTGGTCCTTATTAAGGTCTGATAGGCTTCTCAGGATCACAGAACATATTTGAGCATATGATTAGAAATCCGTTAACATATTTTTGCTAACCCAAACACACCCCCCTTCATCTCTTAATCCCCAACTGTCATCATTTGTCTCCCACATACTTTTATTGTGAGCTTGCTCTGATGCATCTGGAAAGTGGAATGTTCAGAACATGCCTGCTTCCTTCTGGCAGTATGTATGGTGAGCAGATGGATCGTGTGGTGAACGTGTTCGTGTTTGTCTTGTTTGAAGATTTCTATACTGTGTGGTCTTCCTGGTGGCATTTCCAAACAAAGCATTAATACTCATGTATTTTCTTTGGTTCATCACATAAGCCCATACTACTGGGACAAACCAGTCTTAGAACAGTCACCATATTGAAATGAAACTTACAGAATGTTTACTGCCTGCTAGAGCACATTCAAAGGCATGACTGCTTTCTTCTATCTTTTTTGAATCTTCTTTTACACATCCTTTTTTTGTTGTTGTTGTTCACAATATAGCCTTTCTCCCTCACCATAGTTTTCCTACCACCATATAGTCCTCCACCACACTCTACCATGTTCCCCTCTCTCTCCCACCCTCCCCTCCTGAGTGTCTCAGATTTACAGTCTACT